GGGGGGGGGAGCAGAAAAAGGGTATTTAAAAATGATAAAACTTGTTTCTCGTCCCGGAAAAAAATTACTTCCATGGCTTAAACAAGTTGAATAGTCTGCCTACGATATACTGTTTATTGTAGACCACGTAACGGAGAAACTCCAATGTCCGAGTTCCTTTGTGTCTTTCAGAACTAGGAATAAAATGTCAAGACAGTTTTCTGTACCTAAGTCCGCGGTGTAATGATATGGCTTTTTACTAGTGTACGTAGATATTCTAGGGGAGAAGTTCTTTTATTGAATATTTTATTCTGTTTGTCTTGCTTCAATTTTTTTTTATGTATATGTTTTCATGCCCCCGTTGGCACGATTCAAACATTTAGGAGGAAGGATTCGACCATGCCCGTTAAAGACAACCCTGACTGAGATGGATGCAATATCCCAGCAGAAAGACATATATTATACTCCATAAACGCCTCCTCCTCTCCCCCCTACTCCGGAATGGAACCCGGTCTTCTGTGCACTTCGGTAGAACACCTAAACGCCACAGACGCTGATCATTCTGTTTTTGCAGAATAGTATCCCACCCAGCAGAGGTTGACCTTCACTAATACGGTCGGAACGATCCAGGTGAAACTGATTTAAAGATCAATCCATGTATGTCGCTGGGCACGCTAAACTGTAACAATGACTGTTTATTTAAGATTTACCCACATCATCACATTTTCCGAGGCAATATTTTTTTAATGTACAGCTTTATAAAGATGCAGCCATTCTAAACGCCACCGGACGAATGTTTGTCCTTGTCAAGCATCTACGGATTTCCTTTTTCACTTCGTTTTGGAGAAAAATGTAAGTGCTACTTTGTATTTAACATCTGTTTCCGAAAGGATCGTAAAAATACAATGTAAAACAGTTTTTTAAAAGAACCACTGATGTTTTAATGGTAAGAAATAGGCCTACGATCCTCTGTTTACACTTACTTGGGCCTAAACAAACTTTTTTAAATAAAAAGGAGGACTTGGAACTGAAATTTGCCTAATTCAACTAACCTGAAACATGACAACTGGTGAATAGACATAGTCACCTCACGCGCGCAGGGTTAAACAAACGGTTTTTGCAGAGTACAGAGCAGAGAGAACAAAAACATTGGCTAATGTTTGCTCACTGCTACTGTTGTTAGTCTTGCTGAATCATTAATGGGGGAATATGCTTTGTCATGTTGGATCGGTCGAGCAGAAGGAGGCCTTAGAAAGGTTAAAGAGGACAAAGGAAAAGGCATTATCATTATCATCATCATCAAGTGAAATAAAACGAAAACCAGAAAATTACAATAGTTTGATCATGTAAATCGCTACCAAAACATTTGAAAGAAACACGAGAAGACTAATTGTGGCGTACAAGTGTTAAGAGTGGCCAGCGCAAGATGTAGACTGACTATATATCAAAGTATGGACAAAGCGCATTGAGACTAAACACGCGAGAGCAGCTAGCAACTGCAAACAATGGCACACCGCTAAGCCAGAGATGACACTTCCAGCACAGCACATCACCTTCATCCTCCTCCTCCTCCTCCTCCTCCTCCTCATCATCATCATCATCATCATCATCATCATCATCATCATCATCATCATCATC